TACTTAGGGCCCCGACGGATCCCCGCCCCGCCCCGCCCCGAAATTTTCGGGTATTACCCGCCCCGTAAATAAAATTGGGCCGGGTATGGGGATTGAAATTTTTTTTTGACCGGGTACGGGTACGGGGATGGGTTTGCCTATACCCGCCCCGTAGATCCCGCCCGTACCCGTCCCCGTTCCCGCCCCGCATTATTTATATATATAATATATATTTGTTAATTATTATATTAAATATAAATAATTAAATAGTAGGAATATAGTAAATATTAGTTAAAATGGGGATTTTTAGGTTTCCATTATACACTTAAATATGGATTTAATTGTTGAAATAAATCATTAAATTGCATATCTATCTATTCAAACACCCTCTCACACCATAGACGTGGATTTTTACCCGCCCCGATACCCGTCGGGGATTTTATGCGGCGGGTCATGGGGATTCTTTTAATACCCATGGGGATTTTTTTACGGGGATGGGGATGGGGATTTTCACTAATTGAGGACATATTTTATTGATTGCTTAATTCTTAGAGAATATTTTTTGAGTTTTCAATCTGGAAGCCAGGGTTCGTAATTTTGTATACATTTATTTATAAATAAAAAATAAGAATTTAAATGATTGGACAGTTAAAAAGTAAAAATAAATAGAAAATAAAAGAGGTTAAATGGCAATTATGTAATTATGATGAGAGAGGGTATTTGAATTGTGGAGTAGAGTCACTGTAACTGAAAGCAAAGCAAAGGTGAACCCCACACGGAAAGAGAAAATGGGATTGTCCGCACTCAACCTTCAATCTTCAAACCCTAATTCGTAATTCCTATAAGAATTTCCTCTTTAACAAAAAGATAATCCGAAAGGTAAGACAAAAAAGAACCCCTTTTTGAGCAAATTCCCAATTTGAAGAGAGCAAATCCCCAATTTGAAGATAAAACCAAATTTCTGCAATTTAAAAACACCATCTCAGCGGAGAAAACAGGGGTTCTCCTCCTCCTTCGCGAATGGGCCAATCGTCTTCCACCTCGAGGCCCGTATCCTTCAAGCCCGCCGCGGTTATTTCCCCGTCGGTGTCCGAATCGGAGCCCCGCCGTAGCCCTGCCGGACTTGAGCCCGATTCGGGCGATGTTGGATACGATTACACGTTGAATCTGCCGGACGAATGCTTGGCCTGCATTTTCCACTCGCTCTCCGCCGCCGACCGGAAGCGGTCTTCCCTGGTTTGCCGCCGATGGTTGACGATCGACGGGCAGAGCCGCCACCGCCTCTCGCTCAACGCGCAGTCGCAGCTCGCCTCCGCCGTCCCTAAATTGTTCTCCCGCTTCGATGCGGTGACCAAGCTGGGCTTAAAATGCGACCGCAGATCTGTCAGCATCGGCGACGATGCCCTAATTCAGATCTCCCTCAAGTGCAGGAACCTCACCAGATTGAAGCTCCGCGCCTGCCGCGAGCTCACCGACCTAGGCATGGCGGTCCTGGCCGAAAATTGCAGGAGCCTCCAGAAATTCTCATGTGGGTCGTGCAGCTTCGGTCCTAAAGGGATGAACGCCCTCCTCGAAAACTGTGCTCTTCTCGAAGAACTGTCGGTGAAGAGGCTGCGTGGCATTACCGATGGGGCTGCACCTGAGCCAATCGGGCCGGGAAAAGCTGCTGCATCTTTGAAAGTGATCTGCCTGAAGGATATTTACAACGGGCAGTGTTTCGGGCCGTTGATTTCCGAGGCGAAGAATTTGAGGAGCTTGAAGCTGTTTAGGTGTTCTGGTGATTGGGATAAACTTCTCGAACTCGTCTCTGTTAGGATTGACTCACTCGTGGAGGTTCATTTGGAGAGGATTCAGGTTAGTGATATCGGCCTCTCAGCTATTTCACACTGCCCTAATCTTGAAATACTGCATTTGGTGAAAACACCCGAGTGTACGAATCTTGGACTTACAGCAGTGGCCGAAAAATGTAAATTGCTTAGGAAGCTCCATATCGATGGATGGAAAACGAATCGAATAAGCGACGATGGGTTAATTGCCGTTGCTAATAACTGCCCTAATCTTCAAGAATTGGTTTTAATCGGTGTGAACCCTACACATTTGAGCCTCGACAAATTAGCAACAAACTGTCAGAATCTAGAAAGATTAGCGTTGTGCGGTAGTGAAACCGTGGGTGATGCCGAAATTTCGTGCATAGCTGCGAAATGTATTGCGTTGAAGAAGCTGTGCATAAAGAGTTGCCCCGTTTCAAATCATGGCATGGAAGCATTGGCTGGTGGTTGCCCTAATTTGGTGAAGGTTAAGGTTAAAAAGTGTAGGGGGGTGACATCAGAAGGGGCGGACTCTTTGAGGGCAAGTAGGGATTCGATTGCGGTGAATTTGGATGCAATTGAGCCTGAATTACCGAATGCTGAGATTAATAATGAACAGGAAAATGGTGGTGCTAATAATAATCGAGCGATGGTTGGTGGCAGAATTAGAGATGGTAATGTTGCACCGAGCAGTAGCACGATGAGGTCATCTTCGTTTAAGATGAGGTTAGCGTCTTTTTCGGGAAGGAGTTTGGTGGCGTGCACCTTTAGGAGGTGGCCGAGTCTTGGAACTAGGTTCCGGAACAATCCGGAAAGAAGGTACTCGGATTAGTAGTGAAGAAAGACTGTAAGGTGTGCTGGTTCTTTATTGTCTGTTATATGTGCTGTTCATTTATGAAGTGAATATATGGGGATTTGGGATTGGTGAGTTCGAGTCGAATAGAAACAAGAAATGATATTATGTTGTATCTTGTTTTTTTCAAGTATAAATCTCCTCTTGTGGATATACTCTGCAAATTTGTAAGCAATTATTGCAGGATTCTGTTATCTGCTCTGCTGTTATTTTCCGCCATAATCGCAACTGTAAAATTTATTCTTCGTTTTTTTCTACGGAGAGTAATTGTGGCTCTTATCTGCTCAAGCTTTACTTCTTATAATGTATGTTATATTAGCATGGTTTATGATGCACAACATTAAGTTATCTTGTAAGAAAGGGTTTATAGTGACATGAATCCCACTTATATTTGATGTTACTGCACCAAACAAAATTGCAAATGGTGCATCGAAATTAAAGAACTAGGGTTCAAAAAACCGGAAGTACAAGCATTGTAGTATCTATTCCCTACTTGTGCTGATAACAACGCTCGAGTGAAATTTAAAGAGTTCATCCGTAGCAGTACAATCTTTGGGGCACCAAATGTCGATTCTCTAATCGGACTTCTTCTCTTTCTTCGTTGATGGTTTTTGGTACATGATTATTTGACTCAAGATTGTCCCATTCGTCATAATGCCAATCACAGAACCCATAACCACTGAAATGGGGAAAAATAAATTATTTCATCATTAAATTAGCAAAATTACTCCCGGATGCACAACGAAATGGTGCATTCCGAATTATTTGAAAATATTTATTCAAGTAAGTATGGGTAAATTACCGCTCATCGGTGCCTTTTCCTGCATGCTGGTAAAGACCCTCACTGCCAATCAGAAACAAGATTTTACAGGAGATGAGAACTTAACGATTCCGTTAATTCACAAAGGCAAACGCAACAAAGCATATAATGAACTTACCCATGGAACCTGCAAAGTTCATCAAAGAGGTCAAGAAGCTAAGCTCTCCAGTACTTTTATTCTGTTCAAACAACAACCAACACTTGTTAGCAATGATGTACCACTCTAAAAGGGGGAGTGTTAATGTTATTAGTTATTACCATATCTGCCATTTTGGGTCCGAGAAAAGAAAGACGCAACCGTATGGTAAACTAAAATTTAAGATGATACGAGAATATAAACTACCTTGAAGTTTGCCCAGATTTGTGGAATCCTTGCACAGAAAAAAATTGCATGCTGAGAAGCCTGTTGAATTCATTTCAAATGGAACCTCAGATACAAAAGTGACTTATAGAAAACCAATGTATGAATGCCTGTATATTGGACTTACATATAGAGCTTCGAAAAGAAACGGATCAATCTGACCAGCCATGATGGTTGGTGCTATTGCGCAGTATCTGTGGTCAAATGTTGAGGAAATGCAGACTCCTATTTTTAATGACACAGTGATAGGTTCTCAAGTATGTAAAAAATACAAAATGCTATTATTACATGGATGCCATTCTCAAAATGAATATGTGGAAGTTCCTAGAAAGGAAATATCGGGACACTGAAGAACTTGAATGCTCAAAGGATACAGTAATGCTCTGATCCATGTCTTGGTTCCTAGAGGCTGAGAATAATAGTAGATGATTGCTACTAGAATTATGCCTGCAATGCGAGAAAAAAATGGAATACATTGTTAGAGATGTTAACTTTGACACATGAATTAGCCACATTTTTTTTAAATCAATTGTAAATTAGATAAAAATGCAATTTATACATTTTTTTTAACATGCCAACAGCTATAAAAGTATGTACGGATCACCATCTTTAATTCCAAGTGGAGAAGAAACAATTAATTCTTCCTAGGTATACCTAGTAATTTGCCGAAGGATCATAAGTATAGAGAGAAGGATCTACTGCATGTACCTTGAATCAAAAGGAATGCCAACTCTCCGTAAGCTGAAAACGGAAGTCCCTTGTGAAGACAGTATGCCAAAGCAATGGTATAACCAACTACCTCAAGTTCGAAAGATAGGACGCTTAGCCCTCTGACACTATTGTTTTTCAAAATCTTTAGTATCTGAAATATAAAACCAAGAGACATTTTATAACTGAAGCTTCTCAGAGGAAAAAGGAAAAAACCAAGTGCTCGGATTCTCGTCTCGACGTATCGGTTTCCATCTCAAAGTTACAGTTCTCATAGTACAAACACACAAGTGACTACATCTTTGAGCCTCAACTAGTAAACAAACTACACTCGTTATCATTATTTCCCTTTCCTCTTATCTTTATTTCATGGATATCGAAATCTAATGTATCCATCTCGTTTAAAAAGCTAAATAATAAAGAAAAAATAATCCTGAAAAATACATACAGTGCAAATGTACAGTGAGTCGAAGTTAAAATGATGCTTCGGGTACATTCTGAAATTACCACCATACTAATGATTCCGATTTCTATATTTTACAAGAAAACAAAGAATGATTGATGAAAATCTGGAACTTAAGATCTCATGTCTTCACTATTCAAAATATAGTTTTAGAATGCTGAAATTTTAATTGGCATAGAGAGTCGGGGCACTGCATTGCTGAAATCAAAATCATCCCTAGACGAATACGAGAAAAAAATCAAATCATTTTATTAACAATGAAACACCCTAATATTTAAATTTATTCAATCACTATTCACACCAGGGATTGTGGTATAATTTAATTCAGAACCATCCACTAAATTATCACAAAGAAATTATCATAATTCATAACCCCCATGTGTAAGATCAAACTTTTTCTTCAGTTATTCACGAAAAAAAAAATCCTCAAAACAAAAGCAAACGCGGATCGAAAACTACAACAATGAAAATGCAATCGGCATTAAAAAAAACGAATTACTGACAAAAATGAACTTAAAAAACAAAATAACCTGCGGGAGTTTGACGGTGGTGGAGGCGGCGACGATGCAGTAACCCAACAGCTTTGATATTAAGGGAAGTAGACAATCCTTTTCCGGGAATTGACCATGGCTTAGAGATCCCACTGCACAGCTAAAATCCATCCCCAGAAATTTCATCTCCACCATTTCTATCTATTTTAACTGTTTTTTTTTTTTTTTTTTAAATTTATCAAACTGATGACCTATTGACCTGAGATGTTCGAGCTTC